TGGCCCGAGAGCTTTTTAGTCGCCCGAGAGTATAAACATCAGTTTATGCCCGTGGTACATACACAATTTTATGTTTTACAAATAGTTTTCTTCGTCAAAATTCGTTTACAAAATAATTCATTATGTTTGATCGAGTATGCGTGGTTCGAATTTGTTAATGTGATTGAAACCATCCAAACGTCAAACGTAATTTTAAATAATTCAATTCATCGTGAAATTTTATCGTGCGTTTTTTTACAATGATTTTATCCTTGGCATCCAAAGGAGCCATAAACAAATCGTTGGGAGCACCGGAACCACTGTGGCCGTTGAACTTGGAAAAGGTAAAAAAACTAAAGTACCAAAAACCACAATATTATTTAATAAACACCGTACGCGTTTCTACAGCAAGACTGTCATCATCAGCGAACAACTGAACAAACAAGAAAATGGAAAAAAAGGCCAACGTGTTTCATTCCTCCGGCACCCCTGACTACAGGGATACCGGAGGCGGGCTGCTCAGGGCTTCCTGGCCCTCTTCAGCCAGAGAACGGGATTGTAAGGATGGGTAAAGTTAGGGATGGGAACGGAAGGAACGGAGTTAGGGTGCTGAGGGGGAGAGTACTGCTCCAGCATTCGCCTCGTAGATTTCAACATAATGCTAGCATTATGCGAAGCTACGTATGTCTGAGGAAAACCCCCTGACAAAACCCCAGACAGAGCAGTCGGCAGCAGGATTCGAACCCACAACCTTCCGAATAGCATCGGTGAGCGCATCCACTGCGCCGAACAAACAAGACAAATACAACCCTATTTATACCGATATTACAAGTGAAAGTGAAAGTTTACGAGCTCTGATTGGCTGAGAGGACCTCCTTCATCATTATTATTTTATTAGGAGGCGTTTGTTTTTTCGAATCTCTAAACTTTCATAACAATCTAATTCACTTTTACTATTTACTGGCTACAGATCGTTACTTGATCTTTGTTAGAGAACTGTTTTATGTAAAATTCATCGTGATACACAGTGTATGCAAGGTGTTTGGTTTTTGTATACGATCTTAAACTACATTTTTTCATAACGACCACCATATACAATTTAAAGTTTTGGACAATACCGTTCCTACAATTGATATGAATTAAGGTGTCCCAACAATAACGTCGGATTGAATTTTAAAGAAAAAAACATTTCTTTTTTTAATTAAGCAAATATTTAAAAGGGATCAAACATTTTAAACATTATTTATTAGTTATTTTGTTTATCTTGCAATTTGGGGTTTACTTTTTTGATAGCATGTAGTCTTTACATTTCCTAATAATTTTTAGTTTTAAAACATGTTTAAAAATAAATTCTTTGTGATCTTGGCAACCAGTTTCAAATAAGTTTACGTCTAGTGATTTCGTCATTTCGTATAAGGTTTGAAGTAAATTTGTTTTGTGTCTTAAGTGGTCAAAATTATTTTCAAAAATTAAAAGTACTTGATAAATAAGTTCTGCAAACTGGCTTGTTGGCACAAAAAGACCTTTAGCCTCACTGATAGTTAAAATGTCTCCATATTGTCTTGCAAAGATATTAAAATTTTGTTTATAGTCCAACACCTCACTATAATTGATTAAATTGTGTTTGCAATCAGGACAATTATATTTTTTTAGGAACACTCTAATTAAATATCCACAAACATAATGCACAGCGCAAGATTCTATTGAAAATTCGTTAATTTTTTCACCCACTTTTGGTAAATCTGTAAATCTTCAACATTTTCTATTTCTTCTACGATGTTCACTTCACTTTCATCGGAATGTGCAGATGAAGATGGTGTCTGGGTGTATAGTACGGGTTTTTCTATTTTCAGAATCTCCAAATCATCAGCGCAGTTACAGTTCACTGCTGGCTTGATCAAATCATTTATAATGCTTTGATTCGAAATCCGGTTCTGCATTGCATTGTACCCACCTCTTTGACGAATGGTAGAAAAAAAATTTTCCAGTATATCTTGGTTTAGATTGTATGTCATTATATATATATTCTCATTTTGGGATTTCTCACTCTTAAACAACGTAAGGATGCCAGCAATTGTCTGTATCATTCCATCGAAACAATAGGGTCTTTTCATCCCGTGTTGGAATTTTTCTAATTTTTTTAAAGTGTCAATTCCACTATAAAGAGTATTAAGTACCACCGAATGATTTTTATGAAGAGCGCGATTATGCGGATTCGCACTAAACAGCTTCCTACTGTTCAAGGAATCGAACAATTGTTCATGAACATACAAAAATCTGCGGTCGAGCCTGCATTTGAACTCTTCAATTCTCCTGTTTCTACAGCTGTTTTTATAGCATGTGACACTGTTCTACTAAATACCTGGGCCGCTAACTTTACACTCATTTTTTGAAAGTTATTTGGAAAGAGGTGGATATGGGATAACTTGGGCACCAAGCGTACCGTACTGTCTTTTTTAGAGTCTAACAGGTAAACGTTTCTTATAATTTCGCTTGATATGACAGCACCATCCAAATTCAATTCACTATTAAATAAGTTATTACGAAAATTTTTTAACAAGTGGGGAGCATCAAATAACCCGAAGATATTGCGTTGTCGCACCGTAAAGTAGGGACTCTCTGATGATACTCCTAAAAGTTTGTACGCTTTTTGATTGGACATCCCTTGATCACAAACTGAAGCCACAGGCACTAATCCGGAGTTCAAGCAATTCTCAATAACATAAATTAAAATGTCTTTGATTTCTTGGCCGCTCAATCCATTTTTTGAAACGTAATATGCAAGAGGCATTATAGTGTTTCAGAAACACTATACAGAGTGTTTTTTTGGGAGCTTTAGTTAAACGATTCTGAGAAAGTAAAATAGGTAGGTTTTTAACAATTTGTTACTCCGAAGGCCGAATCGATGTAAAATATTTTTAAAATGGACGCACTTCCGGAAATAACTTTTAAAAACGTTAAGTTGGCCCCCCCACTTTTTGAAAATTTGTCACGGCTTAACCGTAATGGCGCTAGCTTTAATTCAAGTGGCGCAATTGAGCGCATAACCAAATGGGGGGCTACGTTCACTTGCCCCCCCCCCAAATGTTTTTTCGGATTTCTAAAAAACGATAATGGCGCAAGAGTTATTATCGGTGGCGCATATGAGCGCATAACGAGCGCATTCGTTTCAAAATAATACGACTATCAAATCTCTCAGTGGGGGGGCCAAGTTAACGGACCCAAAATATTCAAAATAGAGATACCAATTTCCAGACAGCTAGCTATTTTACATAATGCATTTTCTGATTATTACAAAAACATATAATTAATTTTGTCACCAATTTGATTGAAAGAAGTATAACATGGTTAGGCAAAAGAATGAAAACTGTCTGATATCTTGATAAACATATATCCAATTAAAACAATGTGCTTGATACCGCATTCTGATATCTTTAGAAACTTTTTCGTGTCTGTGATTATTCAGAAAAAATAATGAAAACAATGTTCGGTACAGTTAGCTAAATGAAAGTAAAATCTTTAAAATGGGCCAGTAGACCCTCGGTTTATTTAGGTACCTACTTAATTCTTTGTTTTGCATTAGTTTTAAATTTAGGATGTTCTACCATTAGTTAACGATTTGTATAACAAAAGAGATTTCAGTAAAGGTGTCGAGTTTTATTTTTGTCGTACTTTTACTAAAACAAACTAACATAAAGAGCGATTATTTTAACAAAAATTTAGTTAAAATTGGTTCAGAAATAAAGCAGGGTGCGAAAAGTTCGCCCATGCTATAGGTATAAGCGCTATCCAATGTTTAATCTCTGGTGCGGAGCATCTTCGTTCTTCAAACAATTCACCCGTAATGTAACAAATCCCTAATAACTTAACTTATTACATAAAGTACCTATACATTTTTGTATTTTCATACATAATACCATAAGTAGTCGAAGTATTGTCGAATATTGCGTAACTAGCATGAGTGGAGCAGCAGCTCAAAAATAATCTACAAATACTTCGACTACGAATGGTATTCGGAGGACTATTCAATGAATCAAAAGAAAAATTAAGCATAATTACCCACGCGAATGTATTTCCATGACAACAATAAACGTCAAAATAAATTATGGAAGTTGCTTTTCATTTTGCTATTGATTCTATTCGAACTTTTGTGCTCCAAGCTAATTCGTTATGAGTGATTAAATTAAAAGATGTGGTGATAAGTCGGTTGTCGAAATTGATTAACAAACTAAGAAGAATGTTCCGGTTAATACGACAAAATTTCGCGTCATTTCACTGGTGGAAGTTTGACAAATGTCATTGAATAATCGCATTGAATTGTCGCTGAAATACCACACGTGAAATTATCGCTGAAATACCACACGTGCAATTATCGTAGGTAATTGCACAAGTGCATCAAAATTACCGATAATTTTTTTTGAAAGCATGTTGTCTAAAAACTGCATGAGTTTATTTTCATATTTTGGCGAAAGAGCCCGACACCGAAGGTGGAGGGCTCTTTTAACAAAATATGAAAATGACCGAATGCAGTTTTTTACTGACAACATGCTTGATGGATAAGAATTTTTCTCAGCTCAACCTCGCAACCAAAGTTAAATAAGTAAATAACAAAAAGCGCATTTCCACATTAATAGTCCGTATTGGAACAAAAATAGTTACTCAAAGGTGAGACAAAGATAGAAGATGAAATAAATTTGCTTTTACCTTTGATTTCAAAGCTTTGCTAATATCCAGAAAATAAATTTCTTACTTACAGTCTACATCTAATGCTTTATAGGTGACGCTACTAGCGAATGTTACAGTTTTCAATAATAAGGAATGAGTTTAAATTATTAACCACATATTTAAGTAAAAATGAGTATATAGGCAACACACCTAACACCCGCATCGTGATGCATACAATCGGTACTTCTTTAGTAGTCTATATTCAAAGTTCTGTACTACAGGGTGGGGCACGGGAAACTCCCACATTTCAAAAGGTTGTTAAAAAAAACTAATCGAGATAATGAAACAAGAATTTATTTATCAAAAAGATTACCTCATGTAGTTTTTTCAAACTACGTTTTAAAAATAATATCGTCTAAATGATGGCCTTGCCGGGCAATACAGATATTGAGCCTTTCGTGGAAGTTTCGCATGACTTTCTCAAGTGTGGTGGAGGTTATCTGGGCGATTTCTCCCTCGATTGCGGTTTTGAGGTCTTCCAGGGTCCTTGGACGATGTTTGAAAACCTCGGCCTTGAGGTAACCCCATAGATAAAAATCACAAGGGCTTAAATCGGGGGGAGCGCGGGGGCCACTGAATGGGCTCATGCAAGGAGACCACCTGCCCGGGGAACATCTCCTGGAGAATAGCGCGTGAACGACGGGCTGTGTGTGCTGTAGCACCATCTTGTTGGAACCAGAAGCTCTCACGTTCATGTTCCTCACCGAATTCTTCGATTTTTGGCCTCAAAAAATTCTCAAGCATGTCACAGTACCGATCAGAGTTCACAGTAATCGTGACACCACCCTCCTCAAAAAAATAAGGCCCAATGATGCCTACAGACGACAGTGCACACCAAACTGTGACCTTGGGGCTGTGAAGGGGTCTTTGGTGAAGCTCTCGAGGGTTCTCAGCTGCCCAATAACGGCAGTTTTGCTTATTCACACACCCTGACAGATGAAAATGAGCTTCATCGCTAGTCCACAAAACCGCAGTGGGAGGCACTTGTTGAAGGATCGCCTCACAACATTCCACACGTCGCCCCCAGTCTGTTGGGGACAATTCCTGGGCAACCATGATCTTGTAGGGGTGCAAATTGAGGTCAGTATGCAAAATCCGCCTCACTGTTCTCGCCGAAATCTGAAGAGCAGAAGCATGTTTTCTCGCAGAACGCGTAGGACTCTGTTCGATCGACGCCCTCACTCGAGCAATGTTTTCAGGGGTTCTAACGGTGACAGCTGTGCCTTTCTTCTTTGAATTTAGCGCAGATCCTGTTGCTCTAAACTTTTGCACCCAAGACAAAATTGTTTTCCGGTCGGGAACACTAGCAGACGACGACAAACTGTACCTTGTACGGAATGCCCTCAAAGTAGCAGTTACAGATTCACCATTTTTGAAAAAAGTCTCGATAATGAACGCACGCTGCTCACCTGACCACGGCATGGTAACGACTGAAAACTACATCACTCACCGCTCCGAACGAGACCTACCCCACTCCTCTACAACCGCCCATATCCCAACAGCAGTTTTTTTTAATGTGGGAAGTTCCCGTGCCCCACCCTGTATAAAGGGAGGGAGCCCCGGCTGTGACAATGTTTCGATAAAATAAAAGATGTAATGTTTTGAATATATATTTATATCTGTAATAGCTATTTTATAAAGTGTAGAACTGCGGCGTGATTGAATAACAATGGCACGCATTCTATCAATGTCTGCGATGCGACGGACCAGGTTTTCGGCGAGAGGTGTAACATTATTGTAAATACTTATTACAATGCTGTATTCGATACGCAGTCTAATGGTGAGGCTGACCTCGAAGCCAAAACCCTCATTGACAGCCTCCAATACTTCTTCGTAGGTGTTTTGTAGCTGATGGTATCGTCGACTGAAATCATTGTACTGGTTCATGTATATTCGTCGTTGATCTGTAAATTCTGCGACGTGTTCTCCGAATTGGGCAGCATCGTGTAACATTCGATGTAGGTTGAGCTCGAAGGTGCGTAGCTCACACTCAAGCACGGTATCTAACACCATGGACACCGGTGTGCAGTGTGTGTGATTTCCCAAAATCCCTAACAGACGTCGAGACCTCCCTGAAACCGGTCCTAGTTTTACGATGTCATCGAAATCGAAAGACTTTAAGTTCGAGACTAGGACCAAGTCGGGGCCCGGTGTGGTACTCTCTATCAGAGTGTTGTCTTCATCCAATGCCGCTACTAGGATGTTGAGGATTCTGATCTCTGATTGTATTTTATTCATTTTTAAGCTAGCAAAGAAATAGTCACTTGTTAGATATGACGAAAATAAAAACAAGTTGTTTTATAACTTACGTTATGGTCGTGGTACTATGGGTATTGATGTCGGCTCTGATATATACGTGCGACAGAGTTGATAGACGGTATCTTCTATAATTTATTGAAGGTACGAATCCTTTTTATATAGGGTTTAGCGAATCATTACATACTCATTAACGAGTACTGTGAGGAGTTCGGCCACGATTGGAATATTCACACGTCATTAATGGTCTATTAAGTTTCTAATTAATGAGCACTGTGACTTCAGTGTAATCCCTAAACAATTAAGATAACGGACTACGCAAACGAATGTACAGCATATCGTATGTATAAGTTCAGTTTTTAATAAGCATTCACTATTGTTTTCAGAATGCAATGCTTTATATGAGTTCCTATTCAAAAAGAATGATTTTTTTGAAAAATGAGACTACAAGTATCAATACTTTGAATTTGGATTTCCATATGCTACAAATGAATATAAAATCGTTATTCATCATTTGGGGTCGACCTTATACAGAAAGATACAATTGGAATATAGACCCGATCAAAAATTTGCACGGAAGATTATTGTGTACGCGTGTTGTAACGGTTTATTTTCTTACCCTTAAGGCCTATTAAGTCTTCGAAATACTTTATTTCATTTTCTACTCTTCTTTCCCTACAATTCGAATTCAAATTTAGTAACTTTCTCATCTCTTTATTGTTATTACCTGTAGCTGATAACAATTTCCTTTTCCCGTATACTCTTATCAACTTTCACTTTTCCTGTAGACATCTTGTTGACAGTGGTGCCGCCATCTAGTGGCAATTGCTAGAGGTACAAGAATTGAAAGTGTAGATTTCTGTAAAAATTGCAGATTCCTGTAATTTTTCGCTGGTGTCGGTAATTTGGTGGTGTAGTTTCCTGTAATTTTCAGTTGGTAGTAGGTCACTGTAAATTTGAAAATGTAGATTCCTGTAATTTTTTGCGCATGGTCACTTTTTATCACCAGTGTATAGGATGTTTGCTCGAAGTGTATACATGGTGAAATTTTGTTGCGGCACCACAACGCCTTGTTTCAAAATAAAACATGATTGATTGATTTTTGGATATATGTTTATATTATAGATAATTAGGTACTTTATAAACTAAGGAGATTACTATATTTAAAAATAAAATCAGGCCGCAAGGTGTCGATGCTGGCATTGAGTTGAGTCCACGTTGATACTGTGCCCATAACGGTGTCGTACTCGTTTATTAATTTTTCGTACTCTGGCCTTAATCGGTCGCGGTCACCTAGATCAAAACCTAGACCCTCCTCGACAGACTCCATCAGATCGTTGTACACATCCATAACCCGTTCATACTGTCGGCTGAAGGTGAAACACTCTGTTAGATATTGGAGCCGAACTTCGGCGGCTTCTTTAACAGCCTTTTTTAATGTTGTTGACTCTGATAGTAGATCTTGTGCTGGTCGAGAGCAGAGGGATTCAATGTTTCTAAATTGGCGATCATATTTAGATCCCAACCTGGCGTACTCTCTTGTATTATTGTGTTTTGTCGCTCCAGTTCCTGGACCAATATGTTGAGACGGACCATTTCATTATTAATTTTATTCATTTTTAAGCTAAAAAAGCCATACGTATTTTAGTATAATGAAAATAAAAATAAACTGATTTATAACTTACGTACTGCTACGTTCGATTACACACGTACTGATGTGATGAGGGTGTACTTGCTGGAGCTAGTTCTGTTCGGAGATCTGGATTTTTTATAATTTTACTGGAAAGTAGAGTCCATTTATACAGGGTGACAATTTGAAAACTTACCACCCCCCATATCTTAGTAAATAAACGAGATATTTAAAAAAATCAAAATCCGTTTCGGTAATTCGGAGGGGAATCACAATGACATAGTTGGCGACGCACCCCCTCCAACCCCCTGCGCCCCAGCCACCCCAACTTTTAAATCTTAAATAGTGACCCCCCATGTGCGATATGTCGTTGGAAAGCTCTGAAAAAATGCTTTCCAACCATACCAAATAGCATTACATTTAGGTTAGTAATTATCGTGCAAATCAAAAAATAAACTAATATAATACATTTGAAATCTGTCGTATTTAAAACGCAACCGGCGAACATAGACGAACTAAGACAGAGAATAATTCAAGAATGTCGAAATATTGCAAAACCAATATTTGAAAAGGTTCGACAAGAGTTTGAGAATAGATTATAACTGGCGATCAAAAATGAGTTGCTGTCGAGTCGGCTTTGAAAGTTCAAGTGAAATACGATTTTCCATGTTTATTTTTTGATTTGCACGATAATTACTAACCTAAATGTAATGCTATTTGGTATGGTTGGAAAGCATTTTTTCAGAGCTTTCCAACGACGTATCACACATGGGGAGTCACTATTTAAGATTTAAAAGTTGGGGTGGCTAGGGCGCAGGGGGTGTGCGTCGCCAACTATGTCATTGTGATTCCGCTTCCGAATTACCGAAACGGATTTTGATTTTTTTAAATATCTCGTTTATTTACTAAGATATGGGGGGTGGTAAGTTTTCAAATTGTCACCCTGTATACGTTTTCGTGGGTCATTATGTACCTAATTAACGAATACTGTGACGAATTCGTACTTAATTACAATTAACAATTAAGTGTAAGAACTTCAGAAACTTTCAAATACTTTATGTAATTATATATGACAATTGATAATGATACATATTATTGCAGGTATGCAAAAAACAATACAAATATTTTCAGCTGTTGAAGAACAATATGATTGTTCTCTTTCCTATGGGTCCTAAGCTACGAAAGAGGAACGAACGTGTTTTCAATTGAATTGACTTTTTTAAAATATTTATAAAACCGTTCCGAGTCTTTAGACTCTCCGGTTACCATACTTAGTATTGATGGTATTCATTTTTAATATCATGTAAGCGTCAAAACCTTGCGTTTGTTAAATGATTTGCAGTAGGTCTTCTGTTTTAAGTTGTTGAGATTCATGATGCTATTGATGGTCACTTGTTACAAGGGTTACATCGGTACAGATCACTGAGAACAACTGACTGCAAAAATAAAACCACTGTTTTAGTTATGGTCACGCACTTTTTTATATCGGTCGCCTACTACA